TACTGGGGATCAAACTCAGGCCCCTGCGCTTGCCAAATTCCCGGTCCCTCTCCCTTAATTTTTTTTTTTTAAATTTAATTCATTGGTACAATCTAGGTAGACAGTACAGTTACATTCATTACTGGGATCTTGTACCTTTACATGTCAGGTCTTGGTTCTCATTTTTGAGAGCAGAGCTATTAAGAGGACACTGGATATGGGCAGTTAGCTTTTCCATGACCCCAGGCATTCCTTTAAAGTCGCTCCTCTGAGGACTGCCTCTGTGGTGACTGGTGGGAGGGGAAGGCTGTGCCAGAGGTGGCCGTAGTCAATGGCTGGAGCCCGGGCCTGAGCAGAGGGTGGTGCTGTCCCTTTGATTTTACTCACTCCCCTGACTCGGGGGCTTTTTAACATCTCAGGGCTTGTTACTGTTGACAAAGAGTTGTTTTCATACAAAAGGTTGCTTTCATTCTGTCTGGAGGACAGGTTTTGATGTGGTACTAGGCGTGTTTCTTGGTCCTTGGTTTAAAAGACTTTGGTGTACTAGAGCCTGAAAATTGTTTTCTGTTTTCTTTCTGTCTCAGGATGTTGTATGGGGATTAAACTCCTTATTCACTGTAAGTATACAGGCCTGCTATGGGTTCTTGGTTCCCTGGCCTCTGTGTGAGACACCCTCATAGGGTAACAGCAGGGGTCAGGTGTACCTGCACCTCCGCCTTTTCTCCTTTCTCTCACGGGCAGAAGTGGAGCTGTGACTCGGGGCCAGGGCTTGGGGGCGACACTGGAGGGCACTGGGAGGAGGACCAGAGCAGCCCCTCCACTAGGATTGCCCGGCCCAGGTCCTGCAGGTGCCTGGGCCCTGACCGCTACAGTGTGCTGGAGTGGGGGCCGGGGTGTCAAAGCCTGAGCTGAGGTCCTTCTGCGGCTATGAGGGGCCAGCTGCTGGAGGCAGCACACATGGGAAGATGGCAGTGGGGCTTTTGATGTCATCTTTGCTTGTTTGCCTCATAGAGGGGTTTTCAGAGAATGAGTTTCAGGGGCCCCTGAGTCAAGAGCCCCAGGCCCCTCAGGGAACAGGGCCTGCCTTGGAGAGTCTGGGAGCAGCCCCGGCTGTGGCCCAGGGTACGGTGCCCACAGTAGACCCACTGCTCCTCTGTTCTCCTGTGCTGTGGGGCAGCAATGAGGCTTGGACCCAGGACCTTCCCCATGAACTGCATCCCCAGCCCTGTATGTATATATTTATTTATTATTGGTATCAGGGATGAAACTCGGGACCTTCCACTTGCAAGGCAAGCAGCAGCACTGCCAAGCTAAATCCCCAGCCCTGTATTTATTTATTCTTATTTGGAGACAGGGTATTGCTGAGTTGCCCAGACTGGGCTCCAACTCATGGTCCTCTTGCCTCAGCCTCCCAAAGTGCTGGGATCATAGGCATCTACCACGATGCCAGGCTAGTATTGTTTTTATCTTCAGCAAAAACAAAACAAGTAGATCCTCACACTAAGCTGTGGAAATCTGGTGCAGCCGCACTAGCTACCTCCAAGTTTCAAATGCCTCAGTTTCCACACCCTAAAGACTCCGTCACGAGTACGAGTTCAGTCTGCAGTGTTATTCTCAGTATATTCATCTTAGGGCAAACGTATGGTGAAGATGTTAAACAGTTTTGTGTATCTAAAGTAGCACCTCTGTACATTAGGAATTATGTAAAATATCCACTTTGGTTTTGCCTGTTTTTAGAACTTGGAACCTAAATTTCCAATTCTGAATAACCATAGAGAGTTACCATTTTTCTGTGCTGTGTTTCTAGCATATTACTGCTTACAAACATATGTATTTCCCAATCAGATACAAGCCCCCAATTTAATATCACTCCTGAAGAGGAATGTAATCGCCTGTGCCATGACCTGTCACTGTGAACTCTGCACAGCAGTGACTTGGGAGCACAGCTTGCTGAAGGTGAAGGAGAGGGTGTGCAGGTGGTTGGAAACCAGACAGCTCTCCTCAGGCAAGGAGGCGGCCAGGAGCAAGGCTGGTGGCGCTGCACATTGTCTGGCTCCAGACGCTGCCCTCGGAAGGGAAGTTGGGGAGATGGGTGAGGTCAGAGGGGAAGCTGCTGATGCTCGGGGTTGCATGGCATTCGTAAGAGGGGAATGTGTGTGTCTAAAGGGGCAGGGTTTCTATTGGGAAATACTCACAGTAGGAGTGGTTGGCTCTCTCCAGTTATCCAGAATAGAAATTCATGTGGCTGTCATGTCCCACATTGGGACAGCCGTGTCCCCAACTGCCCCCAGCAGCCGTCAGCACCGCTGGAAAGAACCCACACGCTGAGCACTCTCCGCTCAGCAGGGCTGAGTGCCCGCCTGCCACTCGCTGTGTTCCTTTGGCTGCTTCATGAAGTGACAGCTCAGGACAGCAGGACGATAGATCATTGCCAGGTTTCACTTGGAGTCTCTCTCATTTAAGGATCTCTTGAATTTTGATGACCCACTGAATATTGAAGCTGCAGAGCATCACTTGCGGGACAAGGTAAGCAGGTGACGGGCTCCGCAGCCTGGCGGGTATAGCGGACAGTTACACCGTCTCTGCCTGTGTGAGGGAGGAGTGTGGAGCAGGGCCTCAGGGCCGGGAGGCAGAGCTGTGAGTTGGAAAGGCTCTGTGGCCAGCTTGTGGGATCCTAGCAATGTACTTCAACTGGGGCCAGAGAGAAGCGGTTTTACTAGATGTGGTTTCCTAGTAAAGGTCAGGATGAGTCCTGAAAGCAGGCCAGGATTCCTTTCCCTTGGGAACAGGCAGGAACCTGGAAGGGGAAGGGTAGGGCTGCACACCATGAACTGAGTGTCCAGCCCTGGATTTCCTGTGCTCTCCTAGCTCAGCCGCCTACCACTCAGCTTGCCGCGGGATCTGAGCAGAGCTCCAGATGCCCTTGGGCCCAGACCCTGGGTTTCATATGCACCTGCTCATCCTGCACTGCAGCTAGGGCCAGAGCATGGGTTCTTTGTGGGCCTGGCACTGGGCTTCACCTGCAAGAGGTGGACACAGGTGACAGGGCCAGAGGACTTGTGGTCTTTGCTTCACAGCCAGAGCTTTGCAGTAATTCCTGCTGAGTTGACAGTGTAGCCTGGCTCTGGGGACACTGAAGTGGCTTTGAGGACCTTTTGCTGGGGGCTACTCTGTGCACAGCCCCCCATTGTTATAGGCTGTGGGCCAGTGTGGGGCTCTGTGGGCAGCCATGTCTGGGGACAGGTGTGAGGAATTGGCACCCATCCCCAGGGCCGCTGGCACAGCCCATTTCTCACCCTGAGTGGGAGCAGGTCACAGGGCAGGAGCTCCCCCAGCCTGGGGGGGTCGTTCTGGGAGAGGGTCCTTGTGCTGATTTGGGGTGCAGGGGCAGGAGCCCGGGCCTGGCTGGCCTAGCAGTGAGCCCTGCAGAGACTGAGGGCCAAAGTAGGGGCTCCTGCGAGAGCATGGGGCGCCTCATGGGAAGCACACAGCCCAGGAAATGAACCCTGATGACGCTGCCGTGCGCCCTGGCAGTGAGGGCCGTGTGGCATTCCAGGTCACTACTGGCTCAGTCCCATGGAACTCGCTCAGATCCCTTCCCTGGGAAGCAGATCTGGGGCCAGACCTGGAGCAGTGGCCCAGAGGCGAGTGAGCCATCCTGCAGGTGGTGGCCAGTCCAGTCAGAGCTCCCATTGCCTCCTCATTCCCAGAGGCCTCCAGGCATCCAGGCAGCCCGGACTTCCTGCTGTTAAGGGCGGAGCTCCAAGCACCTCGCCTTTCCCTGGTGTTGTGGCCACCCTGTGGGTGTGGCTGGCTGCGTGGGAGCCTTGGGGGTGGGCACATGCCACTCGACCAGCAAGTGTCCCAGGGAGTCCTGCCAGGGATAGAGATCCAGAAACTAGGGTCTGTGGACAGTGTGGCTTCGGGCCGTGCAGTTTTACCCTCCCTCCTGCTTGGTGGGGTCTGTGCCTGCCATGCACAGGGCACTGCAGGTGTAGGCTCCACCCTGGGCCACCTCATGCTCTTCTCCACAGGAGGACTTCCGGAATAAAGTGGACGACTACATCAAGCGCTATGCCAGATGATACGAGGACACTGCAGGCCGGGGACCCGCAGCTCTCCTCCCGTCCTCACGACCCTCGGCCCCACGGGATTGTCCCCGCACTGTCCTGGCGAAGACCGTCCTCCTGACTGCCCACTGTAGATGGAGAGTGAAGCATAAATACAGCACGAAAGTGTGTCTGGGCCTCTCGAGCGTTGTCTGCTTCCTAACATGTTTACTTTCCGAAGCTGTGCTGTCTAGGCTGTGTTGAAACCGAGGCGTTCTGCCCTGAACTCAGCCTGGGCTTGTGCTTGCTCCCCGCCCCGGCACGGTGGTGCCCAGTGTCCTCGCAGACTGGCACTGTGATGGGATGTGCGTCCTCCTAGCTTCCTCCGTGAATGTTGGCCCTGCCTAGATGTGAAGCTTCCCAGAATGCAGTCATTCACTGTAGTTCTTACTGAAATGCACACTTTATTTAATGTAAGTATATTTTGGAACAGATTTGTAATTTGTACAATTTAATGCTTTTATTTTTTTCTACTCTCATTTAGTTTGTATTTTCATTGTATAGAGCAGACAGAAAGCTGTGGGCTCAAGCAACCATTGGAGAGAGTTACAGAGCAACTCTAAAAGCCACTTACTCCTTCTGTCCAAATGCAGCTGGGTCTGGCTCGTAAACATAGCTCTTAGTTTTAGGTCGAGGTGGCCGGGACATCTCACAGCCCGTGAAGCTGATCCAGATGATAGAAATAAAAAAGGCAGGGAGCCCTCTCTCACACGCTGCCCAGAGGAAGCTGGCCTCTGGGGCTTGGGGTTCTGTGGCAGGCACGGGACCGGAGCCAGCAGCTGCTGTCCGTGCCAGGAGAGGTCTGGGGGTCTGTTGCCCCACACCCTGGCTGGCTCTGAGTCTGTGCTGGTCCCGGGCCTGTGTGGGACCCTACAGGGCTCACGCCATGCTGGGTTAGGCTGACACATTCAGAGGAAGAGACCCGAAGACAGGAAGTACATGGCTCTGGCACTTCCACTTCCGGATGGCGAGATCAAATGCGGAATAAACGCCTGTCTGGTTTCACCTGCCGCCCGCCTACCGCCTATGTGTGCCACTGCAGGCTCCTGGCTCCCTTCCAAGCGCCTGGTGGTGAGATGGACCTGGCCCAGCAGGCAGTGTAGCCCACTTCCCGCTCGGGTTGGGGATTGCACTTGATAGAGCTGGGGCCCTGTGGATGCCCCGGTGCGGGTGCATGGCTGTGCTGAGCCGCCCACCAGCCTGCTCCAAAGCCCCTTGAGGCCGTCATGAGGCCTGCCCTGCCCTGCATCTGTACAGCCACGCCCAAGTCTGCACCTGGTACAGGGTGGGTCTACCTGCTAAGACTTATGGGGGTGCTGCTTCGGAGGAGAGGATGCCAGGGCCCACCGTTCTGGATAGGTATGTGCCATGCAGGTGAAAAAGACCACTGTCGACCACACCGAGCAGATTGCCAGTTACTAGTTCTGACTGCAGCATTTGTGCAGTGGGAAAATCCTTCTTATCAGAGATTAACTCTAAAATTGACTTACAAGCTGGGCAAGATGGCGCAGGTCTGTGATCCCAACACACAGGAGGCTGAGGCAGGAGGGTAACTTTGAGTGCAAGGGCAGCCTGAACTACACGGTGAGACCCTGTCCCAAAAGGAAGAGCCATATCCATAGCTGTGTCATCCACTCAGCACACAGCACTCGCTGTGCTGGGTGCTCTGCTGTGGGCTGCCCATGCCTAGGCCAAAGCAGTGTCTGACTGTGCCGCCACATGCTCCTGCTCACCTGGGAACAGCTGACCTCTGGCCTGCTGGGGGTGGGTGTTAGGTGTGGCCAGAGGCCTGCCCTGGGCAACTGGGACACCATGCTGGGCGTCTGGGCATCCACGCAGCTCTGTCTGCTGCTTGCTGCCTGCTCGACGGAGCCACCTGCAGGTCGACCCCTCGGAAGCAGCAGGCTCCACCCCTGACCCTCCAGCAGCCTTCCTGGTGGCTGAGGCAAGACAGCCGCTAAGACGTTGAGCCTGGGTCTGAGCCATGCACCTCTGGTGCTCATCTTTGGTCTACTTTCTTGTCTGCTGTTTTTGGGCACCGGGTCTTGGGTTAAGGTCACACTCTGCTGGCCTTCGTGTGCCAGATGGCTTGCGGTTTGCACCAGTTGCGTCCAGCCAGGGGTCACCACTTAACAGCTCGAGTGCAGCCTAGCACACGTCCTGGGGACCGACCCCATCACCGCCCCTGCCCCAAAACTCTTGGCGAAAAGCTCTGCAAGCTGGGGATGACCAGGCACCCGTCCTTCCCTGGGAACCCGCCACTTGGGAACACACCGATGCTCTTCCTCGGTGGCCTCGCTCTGCCTAAGGGGACTGAAAAGTAAGTTCCAGTTCCAAGCAGCCCAGCCTTTTCAGGGCATCGGGTGAAACACTTTCACGTAGAGATTCAGTTGCATGTTTGGCAGGACCTCCCACCAAGGTTGTTTCCACCCTGGTCTACGCGTGAGTATGCAATCTTGGAAGTTCAGATTTGTCATCATTTCACTGTTTTTCATAAAACATGGTGAGTAAAGTGGTAAGATGCAGTCATAGTGAAATGTTTTACCATTCTTTTGCCAAGTTGGAAAATGATGAAACCTGTGTCATTTGCCCTCATTCCGTCCCTCCTGTGCTTCTGTCTCAAGTGAGCAGCACCTGAGCAGCTTGCTGGAGTCCTGCCACCCATCTACCTCAGCTCCTACCCTGGCCCATGTGTTACCAGAAGCGGTTTCTGAAAGACTTAACAGTTTGAGAAAAGTTCTACAAAAACCCCTGGTGCAGGAAGGTGTTGTGGCGCTGCCTATAAGCCAGCACCGAGGAAGAGGCAGATGGGTTGTGAGTTCAAGGCCAGTCTGGGCTACACCATGAGACCCTGTCTCAGAAAACCAACTAGCCTGGATGGAGGCTTTTCAGACCTTGGACTTGTCAGAACGCCTTCATTTATATGGAATTGTACAAAGAGCTCTTCAAAACCTTGCCTTTGTGCTTGTTGGTTTTCACTGCCCAAATCGAACCAGAATTCTCAGCACACTCACCAAATTCTTACTAATGTCGGCGCCAGCCACAGGCATGAGTCCCCAGTGCCAAAGGACATTGCTTGCGACCAGGCCCTCGGTGCAGTCGCATGGGTCCGTGGTGGCCAGCAGGCACGAGAACAGGAAAGGGTTAGGTGAGCCCACAGTGCACCACACTCCCTGTCTCTTCTCCATGCTGTTTCCCAGCACCTCTGTGGCCGCATTCAGGCCCCTGGAGCCCGATGCTGGAAGCTCATTTGAGGCATCTTCTCAAAACCCTGACTCCCACCTCCAGGCCCTGTCCCCATGGGCTCTCATCACCCAGCAGGGGCAGCACGGATGAAAGGCCTTGCTCCTGCTAGGAAGAGTAGCAGCCTCAGTTGGTCTGTAAAGATGCCCTGGATCCCAGCCCTCGCTGGCAGCCTTCCTGGCCCAGGAGACTAGTGTGTGAGGGAAACCTGCCAGTGGAGGGAGAACTAGCCAGTTTTCATCACTTCCCGTGGCACTGAGACTCAACTCCCAACCCCCCAAATTAGAGGAGGAGAGGTTTCTGGCTAGGATGGTAGAACAGAGCTGTTCACGGCATGGGGGCCAGGAAGCAAAGAAGCGAGAAGCTGGAGGGAGTGGTTCACCCGGCCAGCTCGGACCTCAGAGCCGCTCCTCCACCAAAGCAGCTGTGCTCACTGCTGGACAGATCCACTGAGGCACACAGTGACACTGAGACCCAGGCCCTCCAAGGCAACCAGAAAGAGGGCCTTGCCCACGGGGGACCACAGAGACCAGAAGAAAGTGGCAACATCCCACCACGCTGTTGAAAATGGCTCGCTGCCCACCATGAATTCCGTGTCCAGCACCCCTTTCAGGAAAGAAAGTGAAATCGACCTCAGATGAAGATTAAAAGAATGTTTCCTTACAGACCAGCTACCTAAGGGAAGATCTTTAAATGAAAACGATAGAAGGGATCTTGATAAATTGTGGAAGTGATTAAATTTAAAATTATACTATCGAATGGGCCAAAGAGTGCAACTGAAAAGTAGAGGGAATACAGGCATTTAAGTGCAGGCAAGAATTGGTGACCATTGCTACCAGAAGACTCGATGTACAGGAGTAGTTTAAGCCCAGCCTGGCAGTGCAGTGGCTCAATCAGACTGTCTCGAAATCTGACGAGAAGAATTTGGGATGTGGCTCAGTGAGAGGGTCCTGGGTTCATTTCCAACCAGAAACAAAACTAAAACACCCAGAACTTTGAGCAAGACTAGCTGATTCAACATCAATATTCTGATTGTGACCAGAGGTGTTACCCTTATGGAAAACTGGTGAGGGATCTCTTCTTATTATATCTGCATGTAGATCTACAGTGATCTCAGAAATATCCTGGGCCCAACAAAGTAAAATGTGCAGTGCTTATTGTTCAATAAAAGCCTATGTGCAAAGAAGCAAATCAGACCCATGGTAATCGCAGTGGCAGGGGGGAGTCAATAGATATTGACCCGTAATAACAAAACCAAATGACAAATGTGAGCAATAAGAGCATTAAAAGTTTAAGAAGGTGGAGAATATAAAGAGGAAAAAAAAATTGATGCCAGAAAGAAACTATGTATCTGTGATGGAAGAGACTCTGGAGAGTTTACAAAGAGATTAGATAATTGCCCAAGAAAAGCCTCATGAGCATGAAGATACAGCATTAAAAACAATCCAAAGCCAAGGGAAAAACAGCTGAGAGCCCCCCAACAACGTGCAAATTGATGCCAAAGAAACTATGTATCTGTGATGGAAGAGACTCTGGAGAGTTTACAAAGAGATTAGATAATTGCCCAAGAAAAGCCTCATGAGCATGAAGATACAGCATTAAAAACAATCCAAAGCCAAGGGAAAAACAGCTGAGAGCCCCCCAACAACGTGCAGGTCAGCAGGCTCTGGGGTAACCTAATCGCATGTCCCCCAAAAAGATACCTGAGGAAAAAATGAGAAATCCAAATTGATGAACACCAAACTCATTGATGTGAAAAGCTCAAACCCAAAGCATGAGAACATAAAGAAAAAAGCCACTCCAAGTCATATCAAATCAAATTTCTTAAAATCTGTGATAGAGCAAAAATGTAAAGGTGGACAAAATAAAAATGGACAGGAATACATAAGTGAGGCAACAGTGTAAGCAAGAGTAGTGGAAAAACCTCTGAAGTACTGGAAGGAGAGAGAGGCTAGAACTCGATCTACAGGAAATGTCAAAGATGAGGCAGGGACAGGACTTCACAGCCGGTGTGGAGATGCACGCCTCTACTCCCAGCACTTGGGAGGCTGAGGCAGGAGGATTGTGCAAGTTCAAGGCCAGCCTGGGGTATGAAGCAAGACCCTATCTCAGAAAAGACAAGATACCACTCACCTATAAAAGCTAAAAGAAATCATCCCAGTGATTAGCACTTGAAGAAATTTCAGAGTCCTCAGATAGACAGAACGACTCCATCTGGAAATGAGTTACTTCCTGGTCTTTCCTCCTCGGAGTTCTGGACTGCGACAATTCACTGGAGCAGTGTGCTGAGTGGCATAAACAGCATCTGCTCCCTGCAACTCGAGGCGCCCCCTGCAGTTAGGATGGGAAATGTCTCCCACTGTGCCAGACATCTGCATTCCATGACTTTTCCTATTATCTTTTATCTTTCTGAGCTTGTTTTAGAATCCAAATTCTTGGGCTCAGCTGTGGATATTCTCTCCAGCCCATCTGTTGAGTAGTTTTGCTTTTTAAGTATAGACTTTGTATTTTAGAGCAATTTTAGTTTCACGTCAAAATTGTGCAGAGAGAGAGCAGGTCATGATGGTACACACCTGTAATCCTAGCCCTTGGGAGGCTAAGGCAGGTGGGTCCTTGTGAGTTCAAGGCCAGCCTGGGCTACACAGTGAGGCTCTCTCAAATAAAAACAAAATTGTGTAGCATCCGCATGTCCTCCCTGTACCAGCACACAACCACCTCTTTTGCGGGCAGCATCTGCAGCAGGACATCTGTCACAGCTGATGAACCCCAGAGTCATCACCATTGCCCAAAGTCTACAGTTTATATCTGGGGTCACACACTATGAGTTTGACAACTTATGACATATTCACTACTGTAGTACCAGACAAAATACTCCCCTAAAAATACTCCACACTCTTCCTATTCTTTTTGTTTTTTTGAGACAGGTTCATTATGTAGCCCAGGCTGGCCTCACACTCCTGGAAATCCTGCCTCAGCGTGCCACACAATGGGACTGCAGGTGTGTGTCTTTTGAACTGCTTAGCCTTGCCAGAAGTGAGCACATTCTCCCGTGTGATCTCCTTGCTCCCTGGCCTATCCCCCAACGCTGCTGTGCCTGGACTGCAGCCAGCTCTGGTCTGGCGCTCTGCTGCCTTTCTTCCTAATCCTCCTCCTGGGCCGCCTCCCACTCCTGTGCGCCACTGACTTCCTGTCCCCAGCTGCCCTTTGCCACTGGCTGCATCTGGGCAGAAATATGCTCCGATGGCACCGGAAGAGTTGAGTTCTGGACCCAACAGGACAAGGTCTGGGATGCTGCGTGGGTCCAACCTCCTAGCAGAGCGAGCTGAGCTCCTTCTCTGGTCCCATCACCCTCTCCGTGCACGGGGGCATGATAATGAATCCGTGTGCCTCAGTTTCCTCACCTGTAACATGGAGCCACGCGCCAACCTGAGGACATTACCAGGGCTAAATCAGTGAAGCAGCTGTGCTTGGTCCAACTATGGCCCGGGAGATAGAAAGTGTCAGTACCAAGGTCAGCGTGGTCGGTGTCCATCAGAACCGAGCACCTGGATAGCGCCTCTCACCTCTTGGCGGACTTCTCAGTTGGCTCAGGCGACAGCGCCAAACATTCCTCTTCCCCCTCGAACATCTGCGTCACCTGGGCAACCCTTTCTCCCTCTTCCCCAGCCCGTCTCAGCTCCGACTCATATGCTGGATTTGTCCCCGCATGTCTATCCTTCCGCCTCCTTAACAGCCTCTCTACATCTCAAGTAGTTGTCTCATTTCACTCCATCAAAATCACCCTGAAATTACGGGCACCCGCCCGCGGAACTGCACCTCTATGTGGGGCACTTGGGTCTAGGTGCACAAGGTCTGTCTTCGGGGGACGCTCCTCGGTGCCCGGCCCTGCCTCGCGCACAGCTTCAGCTGCTGGCGCCAAATGAGTCCTGGCACTTTTCTCCAAGCCACGTTTGCAGCGTAGAGTGGAGCTGCAAGGCTGGGCTCTCACGGGACTCACGGCCCGACGGGAAGGCGGACAAAGGCCGGCGAGCACTGGGCTCCCAGGCCGGATCTCGGGTGCCCTCCCGGTAGAAGCCACTGCAGCACCGCGGCGCTCGTCGGCTCCCGGAAGTGGGTGCAGAGGCCTAGCGAGTAAGGCGAGCTCTCTCCGTGGGCCACACCCCTGCCGTCACCTGGCCGCACGCAGCCAATCATCCGCTCTTTATGTGCCACCGCCCTTTGGCGCGCTCGGATTGGCTGGAGGCGCACCTCTCCGCCAATCCGGACGCGTCTCGGGCCCTGCGGCCCCGCTTCCCCCGCGGCGCTCTAACCCCGGGTGTCGCACACC